TTTATAAAAACAAACACAAAGGTAAAAGGGAAAGAACTAACAAAGTAATAGGTGAAGGAAGAAAATACAATGAAATAAAGATTACTTATGGACTAACAAAAAACTGACTCATAAGATCCATAAAATAAAATAAAAAACTTTGAGAATACATAATTAACATTAAAAAATCATTAAAAACATGGTATTGACGATATTAAATTTCTTAAGCTGATAATTTAATTTAATAAATATTTGAATTCTAAAGATAAAAATGTTATAGAAAATAAGTGAGTTGTAGTATAGTTTACTATTTTACCTTTAATAATATTAAGGTCAATATCTTTTTTATTTTCATTTTAAAATATATTTTAAAATTCATCTTATTAATTAATTAAAGTTAAACGTTTCATAGAAACATCTTATTTTCACATTTTTTTTATAAAATTTATCGTATTAATCAATTCAAATTAATTAGAAATAGTTGTTTTTTTATAGACCAATAAAATAATGACTTATAAAATCTATAAAAATAAAATAAAAAAACATAAAAAATAATAATTAACATTAAAAATCATTAATAACTTGACGTTCTTAATTAACGTCAATAAATTTATTAAAAGTTAATAATTTAGTGTTATAAATGTTTGAATTCTTTAGAAAATAAGTGGATGCATAACATAATAGTAGTTTTCATGTTTGATTTTTAAAAAAAATATATTTTAAAATGTATCCTTATTAATCAATTCAAAATAAATGTTCATCTTTTATTTTTCAAAGAAAAATCTTATTTTCACATTTTTTTTCCTCAAATTCATCATATTAAGCAATTCAAATTAATAAAAAAAATAGTTGATTTTACTTTTGTTTAACCAAATTGTTTTTATTTTTTATATATATTTATGAAAATATAAATAATTTTATTTTTGAAGAGGATAACAATATAAATTAATTATATTGAAACTAAAAAAAAATTAAACACCATAAATAATTACTTTTCAATTCATTGAGAATATTGAAATGACTATGAAACTAATTATATAAAAAGGAATGTGAATTTAAATATCAATAATTAGGAAATATTGTATTTGTAAATAATTATAAAAGATTATGTATTTGTACAATTGATGAATTTAAATGTTGATTTGAATTTTAAAAGGGAGAAAAGTTTCAGGAAAAAAAAAGTGGACCCCAAATATGTAAATTTGAGTGGAAAAAATATCAAATAAACAATTCTACCTTTAATAATATATATGACATTTCTTAAATTAAAAAAGAAAAAATTAACTTAAATATATGTCATATAATACTCGATAAACACATGGTATTTGAATAAACATATGGTAGTTGAATAAACATTTTTAACTCAATGGTTATAAAGCTTATCATAGGATATGGGGAGTCAACATGGTGGTCCCATGATCGCTTTATGACACCCTTTACTCCACATGTATAATTAAATGAATGTTAAAAAAATATATATATTTCATATAGTACTCGATAATTATATGGTAGTTGAATAAACATTTTTAACTTAGTGGTTATAAGGCTTGCCCTAGGATATGAGGAGTTGACTTGGTGGTCCCATATATTCACTTTGTGACACCCTCTAAATGAATGTAATGTTTATTAAAAATAAATATCGCACTTAAATAACCTCAAACAAAGGTAAAAAGTACCACATTCAAAAGTCAAATACTAAATAACTAGTTATTACAATAAGGTTGGGTAGACACACACAAAAATAGGGGGAGTGAGAACATATCTCATTCCGATTAGTAAAGTAAGGTTGGGTAGGCACACACAAAAAATATATATATAATAGATAATCATATCTTTTTTCGATCCATACGTAGGTAATAGGATAATAATTTAAACCACACAACTCATTTTTTATTTCATCCCACCATAATATAAAATCAAATACAATTTAAACACAAGCAATATGTTATGATCATACAAAGATTAAACTTTCCTAAACTATATCCATCACTAGTGTAAAAATTAGTTTTAAAATTTGGGTTTTAAGATCGATTAAGAGGTAACCAATCTTAAAAGTCAAGCAATAACAATTTTGTAAATAATGTGAACACTTTTAAGATCGGTTAAATTTTAACCGATCTTAAAAATACTTTTAAGATAAGTTATTTTATGATCGATTTTAAAAGGCATGTCTGACACAACTTTTAAGTTGGTTACAAAAGAATCGATCTTAAAAGTGGTATACAAGATCGGTTATTTTAATACTCGATCTCAAAAGTTGTATCAGACATAACTTTTAAGATCGATCATAGAAGAACCAATCTTAAAAGTATCATAACTATGTATGAAACGCTCCCCTTGATCATTCTCTTTTGCTCGGTCTCCATCGTTCTGCGAATGCAGCTTCTCGCACCTCTGTTGCTCCCTATCGATCGTTCTCCCTCCTGTGCAACTCCCTCGCTATGCGAACGTAGCCTCTCATGCCTCTGTTGCTCCACGTCAGTCATTCTCCCTTACGCACGCATCCCTCACTCGATTCCCTCGCTCCATGAACACAGTATCTCGTGCCTTCGTCACTCCCTATTGGTCGTTCTCTCTCACTTGGTCTTCATTGCTCTACGAACGTAGCACCTTGCACATCTGTTGCTCCCCCTCAGTTGTTCTCCCTTGCTCGATCTTCCTTACTTCGCAAATGTAGCCCCTTGCGCCTTCATCACTCCCCTTCAATCATTCTCCCTTGCATATGCCTCCCTCGCTTGGTCTCCCTCACTTGGTAAACCCAACCTGAATGTATTTTCTTCATCTCCAACGATGTTGGGTCTGAATGCAACCCTCCATTAGCCAGCGTTGTTCATCTTTAAAATTGATACTTTTAACATTGTCTCTTTTAAGATCAATTCTTTAACCAATCGTAAAAGTATAAAATAACCAATCTTAAAAGTCTTTTTTCCACTAGTGCATGTGACATTAGTAAAAACATTTCTCTCTATTCCAAGGTTGAGTAGTTTAGGAATACATGTCAGATCAAGTCATCACAAAACTCTCAGTAGAAAAATATACTAGTAGAATCTCATCGGGATAACAAATAAGCTACCCAAGATATATCTGACACACATAATGAGCAAGATTGAGGCTTTTCAAACTAAGTTATCCCTAAGGACTAACCCTCAATTTTTTTTACACAAGGGGGTCTTCCCATCACAAAACACTTAATGCACATGATTCATGACATTCAAGACTCAATGCATTTACCATACAAATTCACTTATCACTTATAATTCATAACACTTTATGCTTCATCACTTATCAATTTATAATTAATAATACTCCATAATTCATCACTTATCACTTTAAAATTGATAACACTTCATCCTTCACCACTTATCACAATCACTTATTACTTAACACATAACAAGTATCACTTAGTTACACAATTCACACATATACATATATGAAAATCAAGTCCAAAAATAGGATTTTGCCCATCGAAAGGTACCTAAATAAAAATAATGATTAGTATTACATATTAAAAAAAAATCAATACGAGAGATATTATGAGACCGGGGAATGACATGGAATTATATATATATATATATATATATA